GTACTTGCTTCTGGGGTGAAGTGCTGTCGTCATTTGGAGGAGACAGGACTGATTCTTGGCGTAATAACTATAGCTTTCTAATTTTATGTTGTCTAATATATCCTTCTAGCTTTCTACTTTTTTCTATGAGTGCTGATCAATACATATCTGTTTGTTTAATGTACTGAATGGTGAGACTTAGCTGATCTCAGAAGGGTAACCTAACCTTTTTAGAATTTTTGAAACTTGGGAAGAGAACAAAATTTGTTGTGGCAAATTATGTATAAGCTGAGTGGTAATACTTCATACCCCTACAATGGTATTTGGTAAGGAAGCATACAGCCACAAAGTCTGCTAACAGATGTAAACGACCATCATGTACGTGTTCTCAGATGGAGCAGTTGCTTTCAGCTGGACATATTTTTGTATTACGTGCTAGCAGCCGCCCTTGTGTAGGGCCTGCAAGTTATGTACAAAGTAGTGTAATGTCACAAACAATGATGAAAGCACTTGGTAGCAACAAACCATCACATCTGCACAATAATAATAATAATGACAGCACAGTAAATAAAATTTCTTCATTCTGGATACAAAAATACATGCAATGTGAATACAATGTGTGGTGAAAGCGTGTAGATCTGTTGTGAGCATAACATTGCTGTATATTGCCATCTCTGTCACACACTACCAGGAAACAATTCAAGTAAAGTTTCAGTCAGTCACATGTCATCTCCACAGTAAATGTTGGCTGTAGCAAGCCATGAAAACATCAGTACCATAGTAAGTAAAGTAAAGGGCCCTTTTTCATGCCTTTAGGTGTATTGAGCATATACACTAGAACTATATTTCACAGACCAATCAGCACTTGGTGAGTGATGTGATCAATATCATGCTGGCTACCTTTACTTCCCAGGACTGCACCTGGTACCCCCTCATGGCTGGGTCGACCTGGAAAGCCCAGTTCCGACAGGACCCGACCCCTGACAGCAATACCACACTAAAGGACTCTTCAGGTGGAGGTCCACAGACCAAATCTGACCCACAGAGGCCTAGCATGTGGCCCGTAGATAATTGCCAAATAGATTCTATTAATAATCTTTCTGTACTAGGGCTCAGGCCTCTGGTCCTTGAACTCCCCATTTTCAACATTCTGGCCCTTGAATAAACTTAGCTGAATAACCTTATAATATTGCTAACTGATTACAATTTGATTAAATAAATTATAGGCTTTTCCCGAAGTGTAACGATGTTAGTTATGTTTACTAGCTGTGAACTCCAGTGGAAAGTTCTCATTGTTCACCCACTTCTGGTCTCTGATCTTATTCCATAACTTTTGCATGCACATTTATTTTACAGATCATTCTTAATTGTAAGCAGACTGTTGGTTTCCCACCTTTCAGACAGATGCACTCCAACTCAAAGGAAATACTCCTAATGAGTAGCACTTTGTGGCATGCTCACTGAGAGAGGGGGGGGGGGGGGGCGGAGGCTATGGGCCTGTTCTTGTTTCCCAGACCCCACAGAGGAAAAGTTATATAAGGAAAGTATGTATAAATGTGGAGATTAACAATTTCAGTCAACAGACCTTGAAAGGGAGTAGAGATTTAGTGGTAGATCATCTGAAACTAGGGAGAACAGAGCATTAGTGGCACATCATCTGAAACTCAGGAGCAAAAAGGATTAGTTAAATCTCATTTACATATGATGGCAAAGAGGCTTAAAGGTATGACGTCTAAATCCAAATCAGATGTGGACGGTTTTTTTTTTTTTTTAAACAAAATATAGTACTTGAGAATGATAAACTCTTTTAAGGAAAGTTTTTGAGAAGAACATAAATAGGAAATGTTGACAGCCACTTTCTGATGTTTAGCATTAACTATTTAAAATATAAGGCTATGAAATTTCAGGAGAAACCACCAGACCAACTCTCTATACATTTAAGGATATTAAAAGCTGGATGTGTGTCAAAAACACTTTATATGTTTGCTAAATGAATGAACTGACCATGTTCTATACATCTTCATGAGTGTAGCAGTATAAATTATAGTGACTAGATTATTGTCCACCCATGACTATTGGCCTCTATGAGAGAACTATACCAAGGGTTACTCAGCAAACAACTTTTGGCCTCTGTGAGAGAACTATACCAAGGGTTACTCAGCCAAAAACTTGTGGCCTTTATGAGAGAACCATACCAAGGGTTACTCAACCAACTTTTGGCCTCTATGAGAGAACTATACTAAGGGTTACTCAGCCAACAACTTTTAGCCTCTATGAGAAAACTATACCAAGGGTTACTCAGCAAACAACTTTTGGCCTCTATGAGAGAACTATACCAAGGGTTACTCAACCAATTTTTTGCCTCAATGAGAGAACTATACCAAGGGTTACTCAGCCAACAACTTTTGGCCTCTGAGAGAAATATACCAAGGGTTACTCAGCCAACAACTTTTGGCCTCTATGAGAGAACTATACCAAGGGTTACTCAACCAACAACCTTTGGCCTCTGTGAGAGAACTATACCAAGGGTTAATCAACCAACAACTTTGGAGACCAAAATTTAAAAAAAAAAGGATCAGTCAGAGTACAAGACAAAATGTGACTCTGGACTGAAGAAAGTTTACTGCCGCCCTACCAGGCTTGCTAATGAAGAGGTGATGTGAACACAGAAACACTGTGAATACAGGTTTCCAATATTGGGCCAGTATGCATATTTCACTTAAATAAAATGAGCAGGAAAAAGACAAATTGCAATGAAGGGTGTACAACTATAAAGTACGAGAGATACTGGCTGCAGCAGCATATGGGAAATAGAATCTAACCATACAGGTATCTTGAGATCTTGCAGAAAAATAAATGCATACTCATAATCTGTATATACATATGAGTTTGTATTAAATATTTATCCACAGGATCTCACCCATCAGCAATGGAGAGAAAAAGAGCAGGTTTATAAGTGCCACATTCTCGGCTACAACATCAGGTGTTGAAATAAAAATCTGTTGCATTTACAGGAAATCACACTGGGAACCAAACCTAGCATTTTTGGCTGTTTGCAGTTTACTAGGCAATTCTATATTCAGTAGTTTGCCATAGTTCCCAGAACGATTGTGGAAATCATAACAAAGCAGTCTGCTGCAAATAACTTGGAAATTTTGGAATTACGAAGTGTGTTCACAACAAACAGATGGTGGTGTTCCGCACAAACACACTTATACATATCGACTCATATCCTATGTAAACATAAGTATATGGACTAACTCACATCTCATGTAGACCAATTCAAACATACCAGGGCAATTCAAAAAACCGTACCCAGAGGCCACAGTTTTAAAAATGAACATTGTCACGGGCCAGGGAACTGAGCCTAAGCCCGTGGGTGGCAAGTTGAATAGCCCTGATGTAGATCAACTCATGTCTCATGAAGACAAACTCATACAGGCTTACCTCATGTCTCATGAAGACAAACTCATATAGGCTAACTCATGTCTCATGAAAACAAACTTATATAGGCTAACTCATGTCCCATGTAGGCCAACTCATATAGACTAACTCATGTTCCAAGTAGGCAAACTCATATAGGTCAACTCATGTCACATGTATGTAGGCAAACTCATATAGACTAACTCATGTCCCATGTAGGCAAACTCATTTAGACTAACTCATGTCCCATGTAGGCAAACTCATATAGGTCAACTCATGTCCCATGTAGGCAAACTCATATAGGTCAACTCATGTCCCATGTAGGCAAACTCATATAGACTAACTCATGTCCCATGTAGGCAAACTCATTTAGACTAACTCATGTCCCATGTGGGCCATCTCATATAGTCTAACTCATGCCCCATGTAGGCAAGCTCATATAGACAAAATCGTGTACACAAACTTACACACAGATCAGCACATGTAGAACAGTACAGTATAGGGGAGCCCCGTTAGCGCAGTCATTAGGAGGCTCGCTTTCAAATTCAGCTGTGACTTGCAGCCACGATCGGTGTTCAAAACCGGGTTCCCGGGTTTCACCCAGCCTCTAGGAAATGGGTACCAGAGTGACACTATGGGGTAAATGGAGGAACGTCGCTGTAGCTACAGAGTTACATGCGGACGGCGACACAGGCGGACAGTTTCTTATCAGCTGTCTGTACTGGTGGCAGAGCACTTATGGTTTATTACCGTGTGCAATGATGCTGGTTCACATCTCCAGACTTTACCTTTTACAGTACAGTATGTTAAGCTTTTCAGTCACAGTTCACTGGATTAATTTCATGTAGAGCAGGTATGTTAAACACGCGGCCTGCAATAAAAATATTCTGCAATAATTTTTTATTAAACAACTTCAATTTGCTGTCATGTGCAGCTCTCATGACAGTATAAATGTGACCCATGCGGCCTTTGGGGCCACCTTCAGTCTGACATGCCTGATGTCGAGAAATTCATGTCAACTGACACATATCTCAGGCAGATAAATGTGTTTGCCTAATACTGACTTATATAACCAACTTGCCTTATATGCACCATCTTCTATCTCATGCAGACATGTGTCTCATGTGGACAAAATCATATGAACCAAATATGTCTTATGTCAACACAAATTCACCTAGACCAATAGTTTTCAACCTAGGCGTGAGGGGGGGGGGTGCGCTAGAAAGTTTCGGGGGAGGGGGACATCAAGAATTTGTTTTTATTTAGTGCAACTCAAAACAAAACACGGCTGCCAGCTTGCTGTGGAGACTAATCTCCTTTGTGCCTTCAACAACAACAACAGACCAAAATAGCAGATATCATTAAGACAAAACAGTGTCAAACATCACAATGATCTATACCAATACATGTTTCACACACAGACTGCAGTATACATCCTCAACTACATTTATATTTTTAGGAGACAGTATGCTCCACAAAACATCTGTCCATCCACAAGGCTTAACTGTTTGGCTGTTGCAGATCTCGGCAGACTCAGCAAATGGCAGTGTTCAAACACCAGGCACATCAATAAGTAAAACAAAAGTTGAAACTGACAACTATGTTTTGATATTGCATGCTCTCATGATCTGCAAAACAATAAACAGCATTACGTTGAAACAAGCAATGCACAAGAATTGTACATTTAAAGAAGAAACATGCACACACACACACATGTTTATCAGCAAACTCATATGTTTTAGTTCCTAACAGCACATCGCAAAAGCTGAATAACATCTTGGGATTTCCCTGTCAGAGCAACGACTATAACTTAAAAGTGTGACTCTAAAGTTGTTAAATGATTTGTCTGAAAAGAACACTATGCGTTACATCAAGCAACTGACACCATCAAAATGTAGTCCTATGTTTCATGCAACATGTGGCCAAGCTTCAGCTTGTTTTATGGCATGAGAGTACAAACATATTTTTTCAAGTGAAGATTTTCTGCATTGCCATTGGCATCATAAAGGAGCAGAGATGGACAAATGAATTTTCTAATGAATTTAGTGTAAAAGTCAGTAACTGAGCTGTGGAAATTATGGATAAGAAAGCATATCATTAGAGCAGAAAGTAAATGCAGATTGCGAAGTCGGTGTTGGATCATCTACTGAAGAGAACTCTGATGGGCTAGAATGGCCAAATTCCAGTCCAGTGAGTGGTTTCATTTTCACAACAGCGTCTCATCTCATGATGCTGCAAATGTGAACCTACTTCTACAAACAGGAATGTTGCAGTCCTTCACTGCCCACCTTACTTTCTATATCTTATATCTTCCGACTACTTCCTGTTCCTCAAGTTAAAATTCCCATTTTAAAAACTGGAAGATATTCAGTTGCAGCAATTAAAAACGGCTTCAGAAGTTTCAAAACTGCCTTTTCAGAGGATGTGAGGAATGCAAAGGACAGTAAAAACAAGCATTTAGATTAAGAAGGAATGTATTTTGAACATTAAAAATAAATCTTTTCTGCAGTTATCCGAAGAAGTCTGCTGGTCAAGACATCTGACTTCTCCAGGCATTTTTTCCTGGGTTAGCCTTCCTGGTTAATAATAAATTATGCTGACAAAAAACAGTTTCTGCTTTATAACAGTTGTCTCAAAACTGTTGGATTATTCTTGTATAACAGTTGTCTCAAAACTGTTGGATCATACCTTGTATAACAGTTGTCTCAAAACTGTTGGATCATACCTTGTATAACAGTTGTCTCAAAACTGTTGGGTCATACCTTGTATAACAGTTGTCTCAAAACTGTTGGGTCACACCTTGTATAACAGTTGTCTCAAAACTGTTGGGACACACCTTGTATAACAGTTGTCTCAAAACTGTTGGGTCATACCTTGTATAACAGTTGTCTCAAAACTGTTGGGTCACACCTTGTATAACAGTTGTCTCAAAACTGTTGGGTCACACCTTGTATAACAGTTGTCTCAAAACTGTTGGGACACACCTTGTATAACAGTTGTCTCAAAACTGTTGGGTCACACCTTGTATAACAGTTGTCTCAAAACTGTTGGGACACACCTTGTATAACAGTTGTCTCAAAACTGTTGGGACACACCTTGTATAACAGTTGTCTCAAAACTGTTGGGACACACCTTGTATAACAGTTGTCTCAAAACTGTTGGGTCACACCTTGTATAACAGTTGTCTCAAAACTGTTGGGTCACACCTTGTATAACAGTTGTCTCAAAACTGTTGGGTCACACCTTGTATAACAGTTGTCTCAAAACTGTTGGGTCATACCTTGTATAACAGTTGTCTCAAAACTGTTGGGTCACACCTTGTATATACTTAATCAGATGACTGAACTACCGGCACAACATTATTCAGCAAAATAAATTACCCAAGAAGAACTACAAAGGCATAAAAACAGGTAATAGGACTGTGAAATTATAGGTCTTCACTCAATTGTACAAGGTCACATCAGTATGACATGAAATGACTAACCCCTTGTTTACCACATTCTCTTCCTTTAGAAATCTTTGGTACCCCCTGCCTAAAGCTGGTTGACGTCAAGAGTCTCAAACTGTTGGAAAACATCACCCCTTCAAGTGGGTCTGAACCCAGACCACAATGCTGGATGTTTCTGTTTGTTCATTAACGGAAAGTCAGGACCATCTATGACTATCAGATCAGAGGCATTGACTGTTGCTGAAGACAACCTGACTTTTCACCTTTAACAAGCAGGGAATGAAACAATACATGACTGACTCGGATTAATGACAACATTAAGCTTAAGCCACTGTCAAAGGACAGTCATTGCATGAAAAACACTGTTCTTCATGAAAACGTGCCACTGTAAACATCAAGCTTACCTCTTCATAGACTGTCCATGACATTGCAGACATCAAAGTGCGCCTCAGCATACGGGGGACCAAGCCCCGCCAAAAACCAATAAATCCTCGCTCCTATTAAATATAAAATCTTCATATGAATTTTTCAGAGAAAAATCGCATTCTAGAAAACTACCACCAGTCCAAAAATCTACCAAGGCATGCTGACAATTAATGTTAATCCGTAACAAGTAATACCCAAATAAATACAAAATGAATTTGTTCACCATCCAAAAAGGTGATGTTAACACTGCTGTAAAATAATAACTGTCTTCTTCTGTGTGTCTAATGGCCCCGCTAATGCCTTTCAATGTTAGCTTCTGGACAAAATCATGCATGGGCTGTGTGAAAGGTTATCATTGTTACTTACATTATTTTGTTGAGCCAACAGCTAAAGAGCATATCTAACCTTTGGTTCAGTGGGTGGAATTGGAACCACCTAGAACATAAAAAGTTTACCATATCTAAAAGAATGACTCTAGTTACATAAAATAGTTTGAGTTGCTAACTCAAAACAGCAGATGCACAGAGAAAAGAAAACAAAAACATTTAACTTTTGAAGAAACCCAAATACTGAAAACAAAAACGAAAAATACAACACAAAACCTGTTGGCTTAAAAGTATGTAGACTCATGGACTTAAAAGGGAAAAAAAAGGAGAGGTTTACAAAGGAATTCTTCTTCTTCGTGTTTTTAGGGGGCTGTGTGGTGTCTGCCTTGATTGCTAGAGATTCCGGGTTCAATCCCCGGTAAGGGCTGAGATTTTTTTCACGTGGACCTGGACTTCTAGTAATTCCCACTGGCCTCTTGGAAGTGAGATCGGACACTCGTGTGAATTGTTGCACATGATAAATAATCCCAGTTGGAAATTGAAAAGAGTAGCCTAACGGAGCTGCCAGGGCTAAATTTTGAGTTTAAAAATCTACCCAAAGTATTTCAGGATCCTCGCCAATGCTACAGAGCCTGTGCACTGTGCAGAACTTCTTCTGACTTAGATTTGAGTTAGAAGAAGAATGGAGCACTTGTGGTTACTACCCGTGTGCCATGATGTTGATCCGTTGTTCAGACTGCAAACTTCTTCATGTTCACCGACTGCAAACTCCGGCAAAAAGTTTGTCCACTCTGGACTTAAGTATTGTTCCAGAACTTGAGTTTTTTGTGCACAGCCATTTTATAGATCTGAATGCAAACTGTTGGTTTCTTGTCTCTCAGGCAGATGCACTGTGACTTTGAAAGAAACATCCCTAATTAGTTGTCTCTTAAAAATGCTTGTTAGTGGGGTAATGGATCTATTTTTGGGGTCCCCTACAATGTGGCCCCAGAACCCACACAGAGAACAAATGAACAATTTCTGATATTAAATTATGTTAAAAGACATCTCAAGACAAACAAAAATGTACAACAATAACACTGCCAACCAGTGTCATCAAATACTGACTGTGTAGACTAGCATGACGACAGTCTTCAATCTGCCATACTTGGTGGGGTAAAGTTGCATGTTAGTCTTAATGACATCCGCTGGTTGAGTGACAAATGATGCCAGTGATCCAGCCACAATTCCATTCACAAAACTGATGTGAACTGCTGAATGTGTTCTACCCTCTGCAAAAGCACAGAAAACAACACTAAAACTATATATCCTGACTGCAGCTGCATAAAAAGTGCTACAACAACTAGCTTACTTTTATTACTCAATCTGAGATTGATTTTAGAATGTCTCCCTATAAGTAAAACAAAATATAAAGGTAAGCAGGTTACAGATTTATCGAAAAAATAATGGGCGACTGGTCATTGACCTTCAAAAAGAAAATATTCAACAGCCTATATTTATTTGACAGCCTCAATGATATGTTGAAGTTTTTACATAGTTTTCAAGAACAATTATAAATACAAGCAGATACGGCTGTTACTAGACATGTCAAAATGTATTCATATATCTCTCTTGATTTTTCTGCTATGTATCCCCTTAGTTAGCTAAATGAATGATTATTCTCACTGCACATTGGACAAGTCCATAAGTGCTGGGAACCCATCCTCAGTGTATCTTCCAGCGTGTGGCGACTGATAACACCAGTTCTGTGTTGGTTTACTATTCTTCTTTGGCTATCTGTAAAGTGTTCATGTTTCGCGACACCTCTTTTGACCTGAAGTTCTTGTAGTCTTTTCAGTGTTGCCAATTTAAGCTCACCTCCTGAATCATCTTCTTGTCCTGCCTTCTTGAGAGCACTGAGAATGTTGGCTCGGTCCATTGATTTTCCTGTACCTACCAAGGCCATGCCAGCAAGCCAATCAGCTCATACATTCCCTCTTACCCCAGAGTGTCCTAGAATTTGTGGCGTATTTGTATGCCCTATAGGTCTGTATGCCATCAGTCAACTCAAATTGAAATCATATGTTTTCTGCAGTTTCTTCCATGTCTTCTGCATATTAATACTATTTATCTCCTCTTCACATGCTTTTATGTGCTCTTCTATTTCCCCATTTCTGGGAATTCCAGCGAAGGGATAAACTTGTTATTGTTTTACCCATGTTTTCTTTGAGTTTTTTTAACTGCCCTAGCCCAGTCTATTTTTGTTGTGAATAATCATAAAATATGAAGTCTTCAAACATTTCACTTATTCTACAAACTCAGTTGTTCTTCCCAGATCATACATAATTATAATATTCCAAGTGCCAAGTAAAATATTCAAGTAAAAGGAGGTAGATCAGCTACGATGTGTGCCATGATGTTGATCTGTTGAATAAACATAAACATAATAAAACAGATCAGCTATCCAAGACTGTCAGTGTTCCCTACAACACTACATAGTTCTAGATAAACTTGCTCGCAGTTTAATGCACCAGATGTTATTTAACAACTGTAGACAACTCTAAGATCAATCCTTTTTAGGCATATCTTACACTATGCTTGTAATAAAGTAGGGCATTATTACTTTTACTCTCTGCTTTCCCTAAGATCTCTGGAAAGACATAGTAGTAGTAGTAGTAAATTTTACCCCACTAGGACATCACACAAGCGATAAACACCCGATGACACAAAGTGCCACCATGTGGATGAGGATCACCCATGGAGAGGTCTTGGAACCCGCATTCAACAATTAGGCCATATTTATGGCCCGCCTATTTTCGGCCCCTGGCAAGAGCCAGGGTGGGGCTTCAAAATAACGAACAATTGCATCCCACAAAGGAATGACTAATCATTTTTAAAAAGACAAAGTCAATCTCTAGACTAATTATATTTATGAGAAAATCTGATACATTCAGCCACAAGGTCATTAAAATAAACCGTAACATATCATTTCTGCCATTACATGATCTAAGAGACAAAAATCTATACAAAGCAATTCAGGAGTTTCAACAAGTTTTCAGTTACAGCAACAACCACCCTAAAATAAAACAAAAGTTCTTGTGTAGACATGACTAAACTAACAGATAACAATAAGAAGAAGACATCTATCAGGGATGTGGCTTTCTAGTCTTTATATATGTTATATATATATATATATATATAAATATATATATATATATATATTAATATATATATATATATATATATATATATATATATATGTTGTCAGGTTTTTTTTAGACGCTGTAGATGTCAATGTCTATACATTTTAACCAAAATGTCATCCAAATGGTATCATTATACTGCAGGAAAAAAAGTCTAATTTTAAAAGAATGAAACGGTCGTAGAATTTAAAGTACATAAAACCAATTCTATTGTTATCTTCTTCTTCTTTGTGTTCGGTTTCTTATGCTCAGATCAGACCATCAGGTGGGTTGCCTCTATCAACTCGCATGACAGTAGCAGGTCTTTTATGGTTCCCCATAGCTTGCTCTACTTTACTCTTGAGGCCAGGTGTCTTTTCGAAGTTGTAGGTAGTGTGGGCAGGTCTGCAGAATGTGCTTAGGTGTTTGTGGTCCTGTTTGACAGGCACACTGTGCGGACAGCAGGTAAAAAAAAAAAAGTTATTTCCAAAGAATGAAAAGGTCATAGAATTTAGAGTACATAAAATAAATTCTAATGTTATAACATGGAGATGTTATAAAATATAAACAATACCTGCAGTGAGGGACTTCATCTGTGTGTAAAACATGAGATAAATACCAGAAAATGGAACATCTCTCAGAAGTGTTGGTGCAAGGCCACTGTACAAAGCTGTAACAACAACAACAAAAAGAAAACATAAAAGTAAAATAAACAACACACGAAAAGATCTCTACGAAGGAAATGTCACCGACAACTGAAAATGTTTTCCCCTATAACATCAGGAATTTGATCACAACTATGAACTTTGACTTACTCATTGTTCTGACAAATGTTGGAACAACAGATGCGATCGATAGGAAATGTTGGAATGTGCGCACAGTGGGAAATGCAATAAAGAAATTCATGAAGACTTCACATATACAGTGCAAATATTAGCAGCTGTGAAGTACCCAGTTTGAACTTTCTCATGTCAGTCAGGGTTAAAACGTGGCCGGTCCCATGTATGTGCAGGTAGGATTCATAGATAATAAAACTGAACAATCTTAACCCTCTTGCCCTGGGGACAATAAAAGAACAAGTGGGCTTTGACCACGTTGGCATTCCAGAAAAAATCTGTAAAGCGTTCACAATTTTACATAAATCACTAATAAAGGTTAGTTGAGTATCCTTTACAGGACGTTGCAGAACCAACCCTAACAGCCCCTGGCTGTTGTGTGGTTTTTCTAGGCATATTTACGTCCAGTAGTTTGCCATCACTTTCTGGATGGTCGGCTACCTTGATACCACTGTCGAAACCCACGCAAGGCGCATGACCCGCAGCTGGGATTATACCTGGAATCCCGGCATTACGAAGCGTTCGCATCGACTTAGCCACAGAGCCGACAAATCACTATTAAATTTATTCAAGATGTATCTACCTGTATATTTTAATTTTTTTTTTCAATATATAAAGATATATAAAGGGAGTAACCACTCTACATAAACAGGGTGAAACAATAAACGGGATACACCCTTCTGGGCCTAAAAACATATGTAGTGAGTGACTCATGTCCTCTGTCACTGAAGTTTATGACAAAATGTGATTGTTGGCTTATTTCAAACAAATTATTTGGCTCCGCACACACACACACTCACATAAAATGAACTCCTGAATGCTATTTTCAGTTAATGTATTCATGTCCTGACCTCCTAAATGTTTGCACAGGAAAATAGCCAGCAATAATTATTATGTGTCTCATAACAAGATCACTACAGACTGGCGAGAAAAATGTTATTTACCGGGAGTTGGATCCAACCGAAGTGTCAGTTTTGTAAAAGCACTTAGAATTAGAAATTTGTAAGAAAAAATCCTGCAGATTCATATTTTTTTTTTAAAGTTGAGATGTTTTGAAGACTATTCTTCAAAACTGCTTTCTTATCTGCTTTTCTTAAAGTCATGTTTACACAAGATATACGTTTTTTAAAGAATAGACTCCAAAAGATTTTCATAAAGGTGCTTATTTCTGTGCACCAGTATTATGCGTCCAAATAGCAAAACATATGGTGGTCTTGAAGGATTCGTTCATCTATCGCTGCTGTCAGTTCACATTAACCCACTGACTACCATGATCGCATGTTATGTGATCTGCCGACATGCTACCACAATCACACCAACTGCAATCGTAACTTTGAATGCTCACTGTCATTTTAAAACTGCGAATTTTGCAATAAATGTACTTGAAACCGTTTGTTCATTCACTTCTCTATAGTTCCTAAAGGGAAACAATTTGGTAGTCTAAGAGTATATTTTCCACAAAATGTTTCCTGACTATTCTCCCATGTCAAGTGTGACAAAATAAAAAAACAGTGTTCTGATAATGGTGGCTGATCGTTAGGGACGGCATGGTGGAGCAGTTTAGAAAATATTTATGATGCAGTGGAATACTGTCTTGATTGTTTCAAACCTAAACAGCTTTTTGGCTGTGACTTTGATCATTCTTTCGAAATACCAATAAAAAATATTCACAAAATTAGAAGACAATGTTTTGCTTACAGCAGTGGTGTGGCAGTCGGAGGCAAGTGTGTTATGGTTCATTGAATCAGATAAACTCTTTTATGTTTATACTTCAGGTGTGAAGTGTCTGCTAGGGTAGACTGTTCCATTATGGCTTTGTGGCTTAGAGTTTAGTGTAAAACTTTTCACAATGCTATCTATCCTCAACTTTTACTGGGATGTATTTTCTGCTATGTGCTTTCATGGGAAAAGATAGGGTTTGTGACTTTTGCAGTCTGACAGTTCAGTCATACTGTATCAGATGTTCTTGGTGCAAAATGGAAAACAGACAATGAACTTTAAGAATGTTTTCATCCAAGATTATCTCAGTGGAAAAAAAAAAGTTTTATTGGTGTCAGAAAATATGTTGGTTGCTGTTTTTCCACCAATGAACAGCCACATGATGATGTACAAGATTATGTAATCTTTTATTCTTGAAATTTGTTTTTTTTAATTCACTTTGGCGCAGAACTGTAGAATAGTATGGGTTTATGTTAAATAGTTGTGAAGCTATGGAATTTATTTTAGTCTATTCTGCTGTCAGAAAAAAAAATCGTGGATGCTAATTGTGCACCAATCTACAGCTACATGATGATGATGTCAAAGAAGATTACATAGCTTTGGTTCTTAAAATTTGTTCTCCATTCAATCTGATGCAAAAATATATAATATTATAAGTTTATGTTTAAAAGCTGTGACGCTATGACATTTTTTTAGTACACACTAAAATATGTAATACCTGGGGCAGTGCAAGGATTAACAGGTGTGGCAGTCAGTGGGTTAATGCAAGCAAGAAGAGATCAATTTCAACCTATGTAACTATTCCATATGTTGTGTCCTGTTGTAATATGGGACAGGATCAGTTTTCCTACTTTTATGGTTTTTTTGGTTGAATGATGTCTTTGGACTGTTTCCAGTAGGCCTGTATGACAGATTTGGTACTGGCTGAAACTGCACAGAATGTTTAGGTTACTCTTTTTGATTTCAAACTGCCAAGGGATTTGTTTACGTGCGCAACAATACAGACAGGCGTAGGCCTGTTAGGTATAATTATATTTACTAAAAAAGATGTTTCTATTATTTGGTGTGGGGGAAAAAGATTTCTAAATGTTGTGCTGTCGCCTTGATGTCACATCATTTCATTATTGCTCCACACTGCTTTCTGGGGCAGTGATCAAAATCACTTTTTAATCTGAATAATGTGGACAATGTATTGCTGGGCATATTTGACTGCATTCTATTGTTTATATCTGCATTATTTAAATTCAGTACGGGAAAATATTGTTCTGAACACTTTTTAATTGTCAAATGGAAGGAGTCAGTTAATTCTTCGCTCTGCTTGTGTTTAGCAATTACTTCCTTTCGTGCAGAAAAAAACAATACATAGTATCATCTGCTACCTAACTGTACACAATGTAATGACATTAGTCTCACAACTCTACTCTTCTTCTCCTTCTTTGTTAACAGCAAAAAGTCCTGGCTGTTCATCCATTTAAACTTAAACTTTGAGAGTTTGGGTCTGAGTTTTGCAAGTACATCAGTTTTACTGGCTTATTTGTGTGCATTTGGTTGTTCCTTGCCACTCAGATACAAAGGAAGCTCCTAATTAGCTGATTCCTATGACATGCTTGTTGGGGAGGCAGTGGGTCTACTCTTGTTTCCCCCATCATGGTGTCCTGAAACCCACAATGGAGGATCCACACATTTAAACAGATCTACTTTTAATGGCAAACAAGGTTTATACGCACATTGATTCTAAAACTGATTCTAAATACCAACAAAATTTAAAAACTGCAAGTGGATTTTGGTAAAACATTTTTTAAATTTCAGATATAACTCAGCAATAACAGCAATGGTTCACATACCTTTAAACCCTTCTTTAGCATAAGTTGATCGGATGCCATCCATTAGACTTTTGTAATGGAACTCTCCACTCTGATTTGTGGAAAATTTAAAAGCATCAAATCTGAGTTCATAAATGCTTACATACTCACAATCTTCATCAAAAGCAATTAATAAATCAATACCTTGGGTGTCTTCCTTTTGGTATAAAATTGTTGATGTTAAACTCCTGTATCCATTAAATTACATGATAAAGTATACATTCATTATTAATTTGACAAAACACGTCATTGTGAATATTTTATGTCTAATATACCATATGACGAATTTTTATTTTTAGTGCATTAGTTACTGTGTGCGAGATAAGTAACAGAAGCTTATAGTAAAAAGAGTATTTTAATGTGTTCTTTTAAATTAACATTACTGTTGAAATTTCTCTTCTTCTTTCGTTCGCATGAAATAAATTATCTATATCTGCAAAGCTGTCTCTAGTATGAATTTCACTGTCTTTTGTAATTCACTAAGCGGCCCGTAAAGTTTGACTTGTGGGTCTCTTCTGGCCAAAGGTTTTGCCTGAAAGCGTTGAATCTGGGACAGTCTTGAAGGATGTGATCTGTTGTTTCAGGTGCCAATCCACAAGTACACATGGCTGATTGGCCAATCTTAAATTTGTTGTACATGTAGCAGCGAAGTCGATTGTGCCCTGTTCTAAGGCGAAGGATAATGACTTGCTCTGGTCTGTCCATAATATGGTAATCATCTTGTGCCAGTTTCGGTGGCATTCTGATTGATTTGATCATTCTCTTCTTCTGTTGATAAGAGTGGTATGTCAGGTTGTTCTTCAGTTGCACCTTCCATAGCTAGTTTATCAGCTCTTTCGTTTCCGGGAACTCCACAGTGGGAAGATATCCACAGCATTACTAAATTACAACAGTTGCCTAGTTCGGATAATAGTGTCCATATGCTTGGTAATTTTCCAGACTGGAGTGACTGAAGTACTGTTTTTGCATCTGTCAGGAATACTACTGGTTGTGAAATATACCCAGTATTTAGTAGTTTCTCTGCTGCTATCTTGATGGCTTGAACTTCTGCATCATAGTTGTGACAGTGCTTTCCTTTTGGTAATTTGGCTGTATCCCTGGTATTATTAGGATACTCAATGTACACTCCTGCACCTCCGTTTCTGACTGCGCTTTCTGCTGACCCATCTGTGTAAACACGGACCCAAAGGTTCTGCGGGTATTCATCATCAAGTAGACTGAGGGTGGCTGTTTTGCGCTGCACACTGTTTTGTTCTTCCTTGTCAAATACCCCTTTCACTTCAGTCTTGATGTGTATTGGAAACTTATACTCCTCTCTAGGGGATCCGTTCTGGAACAGCATTTAAGGATCTATCAGTTGCAGGTAAATCAGTGGTTTGTCTGCCGAGCCGTTTGGCCTGGTGGATAAAACTACTTCTCTTCAGTCGTCCCAAAATTTTGGAATCTTTCATTCATAGGGTGACTGGGCATGCTAAGAAACTTTTCTGCTTGTAAAAGCATCTTGGTGTCTCTGCATTCACTCAGTGCTTGGGTCATCCCCATTTTCTTCATCACAACTATAGGTGTTGATTTCATACTGCCTGTGGTAACTCTGAGTGCTTGATTTTGCACTTTGTCTAATTCTTGCAATGTGGTTTTTGATGCCGAACCCCATGCTGTTGATCCGTATTCAAGATGTGGTCGAACACTTTGTTGGTAAATTTTCCTAAGTATTTTCCCGCTAGCACCCCATGTGGTTCCACTTAGTTTTCTCAGAATGGCTACCCTCCTTCTGGCTTTGATTGCTGCCTTGTTGATGTGTTTTCTCCATGTTAATCTATCATCAAACGTTACGCCGAGGTATGTGGGCTCCTTATCCTCTCTCAGGGGTACTCCATTTGCATGGCGCCTGATTTTTGTTTAGGAGAAAGGGTAAAGAGGGTGGTGCTGCATTTGCCTATGTTGATGCTGACACATCATTTGTCGGCCCAATCAGCCATTGCATCTATGGCTCTTTGTAGCAGTCTGGTGGCCACTGTTGCATGTTTATTTGTACACCAGAGTACCAAGTCATCAGCATACATTGCAGCTTTAATTCCATGGGGTAGTTCAGAAAGCAGGTCGTTGATATAGACTAGGAAGAGTGTGGGGGACAGGACACCTCCTTGTGGGACGCCATGACACAGCAAAACTTTCTTACTCTTAAGTCCATCTATCTGTACTTGGGATCTTCTGTTATACAAGTATGCTTTCACTTATTTGTACATACTCCCATTCACCCTGCAGTCTCTCAGTTTCTTCAGTAGACCTTCTTTCCAGACCTTGTCAAAGGCTTTCTTCAGATCTATCCATGCCGTTAGCACTAGCTTCTTTTCTTGGAAGGCATCCTCAATTTCTTGTGAAAGGTAAGTTGTCTGGTCTTCTGTGGAGTAGCACTGTCTAAATCCTGCCTGCTGCGGCGTGAAAATGTTTTCACTTTCCAAGTACCATTGGAGTCTAAGGTTGACAATACGTTCCATTGTTTTACAGAGGCAGCTGGTAAGACTGATCGGTCTATAGCTGGAGGCATCAGAACTGTCCTTTCCTGGTTTAAGCAGAGGTATTGTGATTGCTTCTCTCCATATTTGAGGAACTTTGCCACTGGTCCAACAATGATTAAAGAACTGTTGAAATAATCCTGCTTGATAATGGTATGGGAGGCACAGAGAGTCCTAAAAGGCTGCTTTGTTCATGTGTAATCGTGTCAGAATTGTATAAGGAGATATGTTAACGTCCTTACTATTTTGTGTGCAAACAGTATCAGAACTGCTTTAAGAGATCAGATGTTTTCTATTGTAGATATAAAATAGAAATGCCGGTTCAAACACATGACGGCAATGTTTTCCACCGTTGGATACTCGAGGATATCAGGTTTCTTTACTTGTTGCCTCGTTGGTTACACTGGTTGTGGTAAAAACAACAGGCAAGCTGGAGTTTGTAGCTATCCTTGCGGCATCATCAGTGATTCCTGAGGTGGTGTCTATTCAAAGGTGGAGCCTTTTAATAAATCAACTGTGTATTCAACTTCAGGAAGAGTCTTGTCAACAAGGGCTTCACAGTGCAGCAGATGTTTCAGACTGCAGAAAGTTTAATAACGTCCATGTGATTTAGCAAAATGTTGCCTTCTTTCTGGGAGAAGTCCGGGTAGATGAAACCCATTAGCTTTGCACAGCAGTCCATCTAGGAGACGGCAAACTCCAAATTTAAACCCCCAAGTTCAAGGTGGGCCAACGTGCTGAGGAACTGGATGGCCACGGGTGAGCTGGTCGTGAACGATGGACGTCTGGCGGGCGTGCGGGGCAGCACCAGGCATATGGACTCCTACAGGACATCCATTGCCCCTTCCCTAGCAGGCAGGCAATACTAGGGCGATCGGTCATTTCCTGCAGTACTCTATTTTTTCGTATGGATATTAAAAATATACATAAGAATCGTCGCCGGAGCTACAGGGCACGTGCTCTGCGTTTGACACATTATTCAGCAGTTAGTGAAGAGGGAGTGAGGAGGAGACAATGAGGAAATGGGGAGAGAAGAAGGCATAGAAATAGGAGGGCAGGTGCTAGGAGAACAAGGTAAAAGCGGAGAAATTGAGCTTTAATCATGTAAAAGTAGGATACTGGAACTGTCGGAGTGCTAGGCAGAGAAGTCCTGTACTGGGAAGGTTGATTTTTGATGTCATCATGCTCCAGGAGCTAAATACAGACAGATATCATTGCCCAGGGGTACGTCAGTTATATACACCCTGTTGGACAGGAGAGACATGGACAAGGTCTAGTGGTAAAGGAGGGAGTGAAGCATGTGGTGCTTGACTTGAGCTAGTGGAACCACAGTGGACGAGAGGTTCGAGGGATACAGGTGGACATTGGTGGCTTAAGTTGGAACCTCATAAATATATATGCCAAGGTAGACTGTTTTGCCAGAAGTGAACAATGGAGCTGGCTCGAAGAACTGGAGAAGTTACCAGGGGATAGGTTACTCAAATGTGGGGATTTCAACACGAGGAACAGAGAATGGGACAGCAGTGGAGAAAACTGACAGGGAATTGCTCTTGCAGAGGCCATGGTTGACTCCGATATGGTCTGCATCAATGATGGGAGGCTGACTAGAATGGCAATGAGGTCTGGAGATGCAGACACAGCCATTGTCTTGACATTTGTCTCTCAGTCGTCAGTTTTAGATGTTAAATGGACTGTCCTGAATGACCATGGGAGTGATCACCTACTATGTTCAGTCTTGATTTCTAAACTCAGTAAGGTTAAGGTTGGGAGAGCACGCAAGACCTTCCAGTATAAGTGGACCAATAACCTACTTGGACGCCTCAGACGGGGAGCAAGCAAAAGAACTGCCAGAACTAATTTTCTACAGCCCCCATGGTGGACTCCAGAAGTAGAACAGACATGGAAGGCAAAGAGAGTCACAGTGAAGCAGCTAAAGAAAGTACGACAGACACCCTCAAGCTCACGAGAGGAAGTGGAGATGGCGGAGAATGTGAAAAAAGATAAGGTGGAGGTTTTCAAGCGATGTGCTGCAGAGGCCAAAAGAGCAAAGTGGGAAACTTTTGTGAATGACATGGGAGGCGATAAAACATTGGGGAAATTCTGGAAACTGCAAAGGCAGATGCAAAGAAAAGATCGGCCTATGACAGTCGGAACAATTTGTAGAGACGATGGTGTGCGTGTGACAACAGACAAGGAGAAAGGGGAGGCTTTTCTCTACAGGTTTATAGCTCAGACAGATCATAATGATGTAGACATCAGGAATGCAGTTAGAAAGGAGTTAGCTTGCACCTTGAAGAATATGCATTATGAAGACATGATTCAAGTGGAAGATATCAAACAAATTTTGAAAAAAGCAAAAGACACTGCACCAGGGCCTGATGGTGTCAGGTATGGTCACATGAAGGCTTTGAGCGATGTAGACCTGGCAGAGATGGCTGACTGTTTTAACCATTATTAAGACAGCATCAGTACCGCAGGACTGAGTGCACAGCTATCTAATCCCACTACCAAAACCTTTTAAAGATCATTCTAAGCTCAGTGGCTCTAGAATCATCACCTTACAAAACACATTTGGGAAGGTCTTGGAGAAGATAGTTGCTGTAAAGTTACAAGAATTTTTAGAAAGGGGGAAGCTTCTCCAAAGAGGTCTGGGAAGTTACAGGTCAGGAAAGGACACTTGGGCAAATGCGGCCACTTTTGCTTTTGACGTCTATGAAGGGTTCCAGAACAGACAGGAAACTATGGCGGTAGGACTGGATCTCGAGGATGCTTATAACAGAGTGAGATACGACATCTTAATGACTGCACTGAGGGAGGAGGTCAATCCATGGTTGGTGAATGAGGTTGCAGCTGTCCTGTATTCACGTCGGGTTGCTCTCCGACTGGGCTCATAGACCTCTGAACCATGCACTTTGGCCCCAGGACTGCCACAGGGATCCGCCATCTCGCCTTCAACGTGTATACGAGCAAGATTGCAAGCCTAGAAGCACCAGGAGTTGGAAGGATACTGACTTTTGCAGATGATATACTTGTATATAGGCAGGGGGAAGAGGCGGAACAAACAGCTCGGGAGCTACAAGCGACAGTAGACAAAGTGACTGAGTGGTATACAGAAATTAAGGCTGTCGTCCACCCGGAAAAGGCGTCGTTCTGTGGTTTCTCTGGACAAAAGAATCGTTAAAACTAATGTCCCAAGTCTCACGATAGATGGTAGAGACGTCAACAGAGAGAGCAAACTGAAGTATCTGGGGATTACATTTGACAGGAGCTTGTCATTTAAGGACCATGTGGAGGGTGTTGTGACGAGATGCCAAAAAGGACTTAGTGCACTTAAGACTATGGCTGTAATTGACATAGAGCAGAGAATGCTTTTCACACTATATCAGCACCTGATCCTGTCAGTGGTGGATTATGGCCTGGGACTGCTTACCGTCTTGAAGAGTCAGATGGACAAACTAGAGCGCATACAGAACGCGGCTATGCGGGTCATTCTGGGTTGCACCAGAGACACCCCAGTGGTGTGTATGCGATACATCCTTGGTTTGCCGACGGTTGCAGGTAGGCACAAGGTGATGCAGGCGAAGTCATATCTCAGGGTAGCTGCAGACACATACCACCCTCTGCATGAAGCTCTGGGTGCAGTTAAAGGTCAGCGGCCGATAAGAGGGAGGTCATGGATGGCTCAGGCAGAAGACACAATCAGAAAGGTTTGCATCCTTGAAAGCATTAGGCGAGGAGAGGAGTGGGTCGAAGTGCCACCTGAGCAGTCAGACTTGTGTAGAGTCTTAATCACGCTGAGCCGGAAATGCAGAGACTGGACAGCAGGTGCCACAGAGGTGGAAATTCAGCAATTAATTCAAGATAATGCTCGCTCAGAGGATTTGATCATTTACGCAGACGGTTCAGTGTCAAGAGGCAAAAGAAGTGCTAGGGGCATTTCAGCAAAAGTTAATGGTCGACGTTTGGTGCAGGAGAGCCTAGCATATGATACCACAACATCCAGCTTAAGAATGGAGGTGGAGGCGGTCACTGCAGCTTTCCGCTGGCTAGAGAACACGACACACACAAACGTTGTAATTGATTCAGAAAGCATGCTGAGCTGCTACATGATAGGGCAGACGTGGTTAGTGCCTTGTAGGAGAGCGTGTACAATGCGGAGGAGCAGATGGATCACCACAGTCTGGTGAGATTGATGCAGTTGGGGGTGACGAGAGGTTCTGGCAGAAGCTCAAGGCTCAGAGGAAAGGCAAGACGGACGTTTAACCAGAAAACTACTGGCACCATTAGTATCGGAACTCTTTGCTGGCTGCTGAAGATAGGGACGGAGCGCTTATGGAAATGCCCCGAATGCTGTGATGTTGGTTCTTGAATCAAATCAAATCAAATCAGATATAAATGCTGTCAGAATGGCTTTAGACCATAAGTTGATGTTCTTTTGAAATGTAAATGTTGAGAGAACTGCGTTAGGAGATTAGTTCCTTTTCTTCTGTGTTTGCCCTTTAAAGGGCAGTTAGCACATTTTGTTGTGGTTTAAAGCTAGGCTGTAACATTGCCATCCTTTGGTCCAACTCAATTTCAACAAAAAGAGATCAGCTGTTTTTCTTGCTATTTAAATTGGAAATGTGTAGAATTGCATCAGAAAATAAAAATAAAACAAATAAAATGTCAGTTTCAAACCTCATATCGGGTCTTTAATACAGTAAAGGGTAGAACTGTTATCCCTGTTATTGTTCTGGCTGAGGCGCCCATGGCAACTGACTCTACAGGATGTGGGGCTTCAGTGCTGCTTTCATGCAAGTAAAAAGATTACAAACAGTGATAAAAGAATATAAATGTGAATATTACACTCAGCTCATGATTCCTATTCACCCTGTAATAGGCACTGGTTGTGCTATTCTGTGTGCAGCTGGACTGAAATTAGAGCCCTACAGTCAGCAGGTCTAGCTTTCTTTCAATCCCTAATTTTGTTGCCAGACTGCATGGATACAACATACTTTGAGGTAGTGTAAGTTCAATACAAGGAAAAATACAGACATTCTTCAAGATCTGAATATCAAATGGGACCAGCTCATAAACAGTATGGTTTCTCGAATATAGAAATACTTCAGCCATATTAAACACTAAAATGGTTTTGATAGAACATTAATGGCGGTAAGGTTCATGAAAGAAGAGGCATAGTATGTACAATGACTCTCTTTCTATCACTCTCTTCTCCAGCCATCTGCAGACTTCTCAGGTGCACATCGACCTACACTTCAACATGTTAAAATAAGAAAAATGTGAATGCATAGCTGATGCTAATGTCAATGTTTATTGATTCACTCAATTGCCCCCAAGCCAATGCACCCAGCGATGACAGTCCAGGGATCGCAACACAACAACTTATTGCACACTATACTGTTCAAGGAATAATTACCTTTATACAGAATGAACACATGAATAATTTAATGGCGACATCTTGACAGTCACTATCTTCCACGCTGAATAAACAACACGTAGGTCTGGACCAGAATTGCCAAACGAACCGTAGGATTGAGTCCCAGAACTCACAGCCAAAATCTGGTTCAAACATCAACTTGTAACTTGATTCATTCATCCGCATCACAGACACAGCATTCTTGGAACCCAAAACGAGACTGACTCCTCTCGCTTATTCTTCAACTTAAGTAATCTCTCATTCCTTCATGTTTCTCAATCATCCACTCATCCTGCAAATTCACAATCTATTCACCTTAGCCTGTGCCCAGCAATCCACATGCTTGCATACAATCAAATGTGCAACTTGTTCGGCCTTAACCCAATTCATCCGAACCGAAGTACATAATTTATTTTCAGTCTTTGACCTCATTATTAATGCATCTTTTCTCAGGAGAAAATAGACTCATTACAGTGTGACTGGTTCAACGGTCAATACAGGATATTAGGGATACCTGGGCATTTTAGTTTGCAAGATGGGAACACTGGCAGTCTGCTATGATGAGAGAGACATTTTGCACAAGATTTGTGACATGATGATGATGTCAGACATAAATGGGTTAATTAACTTTTATGCAATCAGTTGAGTCATTAACCAAACACATCTCTATTGCTGCATCTTTGGTTCCAGATTATAAACAAACAAAACAACATGGTTCCAGTGGCGATATATACATGTAATAAAACCAAATAACAAGGGTTGGTGGGTCATTAGCTAACCCCTACAATAGACAACTGGTGTTTCTTAGCCTATCCTTCAAGAAATTAAATGCTGGTGTCTTTAGCATGTTAAATATATGCCCTCTATTAAAGATCATCACAGGTATATCTAGTGCCCAATTCATGCCGGGGTCAGACGTCATGAGCAAGTTGATATTTTGGCCTCTGGCACTAATTTTAGAAGGCGCAAGAACCACTCATGGTCATATTTTAATAAATAAAAGAAATACATCGAACATACAAGTTAAAAGCTACAGAAAGGCTGAGCACCATTGTGACCACTACCTGGCTGATGCAAAATTAAAAGTCAATCTTAAGATCTCATGAGATCCTTCTGCATCAAGTTGCAATGATCATACCCAGAGTACAGCAGGAAAAGATGACAAGAAACATCCAGGTCAGATAAATCTGCAGTTGAATAAAAACATAATATTGCAATTTTACAAAATCCCTTAGAGGAAGTTTTTGACCAAACCTGGATGGATATTGGGAACACAATCCAGAAGAATGTCTTGGTGTGTCCACCATAAACAAAGAGAACAAATGGTTTGATAAAAAATATGAAGAAGCAGTCAATAGAAAAAAATATGCCAGGCAGATATGGTTACTAGCAAGATATGAATTAAAGAAAAATCTACAACTGAAAGTAAAGAAGCTAAAAAAAAAGTAGTTAGGCAGCAAAAGAGAGAATATATGATGAAAAATATTGTCAAAAATGTGGAAGCTAACCCTCAGAGCCATGAATTCAGACAGTTTTTTAAAGAACTGAAGGCTGTAAAACAAGGGCATCAACACAGCATATATAGTTTAAAATATCACAATGGGAACATGATAAATTATAATGAGGAAATATGTAACAGATGGAAGGAATACTTTGCTGAGTTGTTAAATTGTGAAGCTTAACTAAATACTTATCTATAGAGAGAGATGGTAACAAGTGAACGAAATACTGAAAAGCCTGATTTTGAAGATGTAATTTTTGTCATAACACTGCTTAAAAACAATAAAGCATCTGGTGCTGATGGAATTGCAGCTGAACTTATTTTTTTTTTTTAAATAACCTGGTTATGCATTACATTTAAAGATATAAGAATTGATAAAACTATTTTGGAAGATGGACTGAAAAGAGTCATTATTAATACCCATTTTTCAGAAAGAAGACAAGTATAATTGTGAATATTTTAGAGGAATATCACTATTAACTACAGGCTATAAGATACTATCGGTGGTACTGCTAGACAGCCTAAACCATACTTAAAAGATATACTGAGCGATTACCAAGCAGGTTTTTGACAGAACAAGATCAACAGATTAGATATTTATTTTACCGCAAATAGCCAAACAAAATTTGGAATATAAAAGAGATGTACACAATTGTTTTGTGGATTTTAAAAAAGGTATATGATAGCGTACAAAGAAAGAGATTATGGAATGCTATGAAGTACTTGGGAGTATCACAGAAGTTAACCACCATGACCAAAGTATGTATGGAAGGCATTTATAATATAGTAACATATAAAGGCAAAAAGTCAGACCCTTTTCAAATAACATCTGGTTCAAAGCAAGGTGATGCTCTGTCCCCACTTCTTTTGAACTTGGCCCTGGAGAAAGTTATAAGGAAATCGAAAGAAGAATGTACTATAGGAGAAACTACAAGAATACTTGGTTATGCAGATGACATTGATATCGCTGGAGAAAATGAACTACAGACTGTAAAGACGCTGACTCTTAAAAGAGGCAGCTCACAAAATGGGACTAGTTATCAATCAAGACAAGGCAGAACACATGTTAACTCCAGCAACAGACAAGTCCTTAAAATTAAAATCAAATGAACAGAAACATATAAGTCTTGGGTGCAAACTTCAACTGTTCCAACATGCTGAGAGAAGAAATACAATCTAGAATACAATCTGGAAATAAAGTATACTATGCCCTTTACAGAAGAATGCTTAGAATACATTGGACAGCCAAAAAAGAGCAACCAAGAGGTTTTGAAAGAGGCGGGAGCCTGAAGACAACTTATCACAGACATCCAAAGGAGACAGTCATCATTTTTCGGCCATGTTTTGAGAAGAGGGTAAATAGAATCTGTTGTGACCGCTGGAAAGATCTGTGGAAGGAGGGATAGAGGAAGACGATGAGAGAAGATTCTTGACAGTCTTGCTGCATGGCATCGAGGTGTGTCGGCACACGAATTGATACATGCTGCAGGAGATCGTGGATTATGGAGAGGCATGATCGCCCATGCCATTCGGCAAGGCACCTGATTATGATGATGCCCTTAAAGTCTTTATCTCGCAATATCAAGATAAAAAAATATAAAATGTTATAAGACCAGTCATTTTATACAGTTCTAAAAACTTGGAGCACAACTTAAAGAGATGAAGTCTTATTAAACATTTTCAAAAAAGTCTTACGATGAATGTTTGGACCAATCAAAGATGCAAACAGCGGGGAATGGAGTAAGAAGCAAAGACTAAATTTCTAATCTGTTTAATCCCCTGTAATCCCCATTGATGACTGACATGACAGCTAATAGACTGAAATGGCTGGGGCATATTGAGAGAATGTTAGAAGACAGGTAGAAGCTATATGATTCAGCCTAAAATTGGTACCAAGTAATGTCATGGGAAGTAAAGGTGGCCAGAGTGATGCTGACCATGTCACCCACTAAAAGCCAATAGGTGTATAAATATATAGGTCTTGCACTTTATGCCCAATATGCCAATGGCATCAAAAAGGTGCTCTATAGGCAGCCCGCATATTCCTGGCCGCATTGCCAATTGATTAGTCTCTAAAAATATGCTCAGTATGCTTAGAGGCATAAAAATGGCCTTTACTTTAGTTATATATGACATGTGGTTTCCAGAATTTGGCATCATCTACATCTGCTGTGGAGACTGAGTGTGTGTAACATTTTTTTATGTCAGTTCTATTTAATACTAATTTTTTTTTTTTTAAATACATCAGGCAAGTTTAACCATGAACGACAAATTACATAAATTACAAACCATAGAAGTAAAGCATTTACAAGCATAGTAAAAACTTACCCAAAGGAAGACTTCAACCAATGAAGACTGGCAAAGTACAGACCTATACCAGGCACACATCTTAGAAGTGACTGAAATAAAAAGTAGAGTACTTTTTTATGGTATACACTGACAAAATATCACCACAGAATCTTGTTGTCATCTTTATGCTAGTTGGCTTTGGTCTCTTTTTCCAAGAACCATGCCTTTTATCTTTTTTTACTGTCTTTCCAACCATTGCAGCATTTAAAATGGTCAAAGTATTTCAGTATTTCAAAATAAGGGCTTTTGAGCAGCAATGCTATAGAAAGATTCTCAGAATACCATAGAACAAGAAGAAGAAAAAAATACTGACATCCTAAAAGATCTGATCAAGGAAGAGTAATAAATAGCCTCAGGTTTCAAAAGTTGAAATATTTTGGCCATATCAAGCGCAAAGGTGGACTGGAAATAACAGCAGCAGGCATGGTGCCAGGAAAGAGGGGCAGAGGCAGACCAGAATAAAGACTTGGCACAGGATATATGTAACACTTGGGTTGGAGGGTGCACAAAGTGGGAGATCTGATGAGAGACCAAGTTTCTTTCAGGCAGACAGTGATGAGAGCGATGTTCTGCAAAAGACTGGCTACATGATGATGATGTTTTCAGTTTCTGAGACCAGATGTTGTTTATGAGTCAACTCATGTTTGGGCTTTGTAAATGTCACAAATTGCTCTCCTTCTGGCCCTGATATTCTTAAAAAAATTGTCACATTTTTGTTTAAATATAGCAACTGTCTTTATTTAGCAGTAGAGCATTTGTTTATTACTTACATGTGTATGTTCCCACATCCAGCTCTAAAAATTGATACTTACATTTTGGGGGGGGGGGGGGGGGGGGTGGGTTATGTTGTGCTATTCTCTTTTGCTATTTGTTAACCTTTGCACTGCCAATGCCAGACTGTCTACACTTTTTTTGAACAGTTACTACTGGTAACTTAGAGTTTAGTGAATGCATTTAACAATTTCAAAATCCTTGAGTACAAGGGTTTGACGTTTGTGGTGGATAGTTAATTTTTTTTTTTTTTTACGCCCTCATGGTTTACAGACAGTGGATTAAGTGTGACCGTAATTAATACCAGGGAAACAAGACAAGAGTTTAGTTTTACTTACAGGAACCAGACCAGTCCACAAGCCCAGGACTTTCTCTTGGCGTACAACATTAGCAATTTCATCAAACATCCCAAGCTTGTTCCTAACAAAGCCATGTTCAGGAATAAAAAAAACCATGTGGAACTGTTTACATGTGATTAATTCCTCCAGGGAGGAAAATAATATATTTTCATGCACAAATTATTTTAGGTGGGATCTGTCAAGCTAAATAAATAAAGATACGATATCTTGTGTGCATATTTAAAATATCTCAAAGCAATTGGAAATCAGTGAGTAGATGTCCATGAAAATGTTGTATTAAAATTTGACAGGTAGCAAACCAGCTGGCACAACAATATTTATTGTTTATTACACGTAAGATTGCTCATATATACAGATCAGGGTATTTTTTTTTTTGTGGGGGGGGGGGGTGGTTTAAACAAGCAATTATGACATTTATTTGAACATCTCATATTATAATCTGAACGATAGTGGAGTATTAACGGACAGTTTCACAGTGTTGTGCAGATAGTTCTTGATTTAAATCAATCAATTTTAAAAGAAAAACAAAGACATATTGCCTTAATAAAGAAGTCACAATGTTAGTCTCTTGAAATACACAGGCACTAAAGTGTTTTCTGGTATATCTGATGAAAAACACTGGCCACAGGAGATGGATTATGAAGAGTTAACTGAGAAGGAATGTATCAAGAGCTAGCCAGGTCTCATCACTTCACAAAACCAAGGTATGCAGGTCAGATCTCTCCTTGCCACCTTTGCATCACAGACATTTCCCAGAACATTCTTAAAATTACCCAGCATCCATATTTATGAAGCTTCATTGACCCACAAGACAAACTTGCCAAGATACAAATCCTTTAAATAGGGATTTGAAATGGACGACTGCCTTCCAAAGCCCCACCAAGCAAGCAAACAGAACTTGACAGAATGGAAATGTACCATTTAATATTGATACAGTTCCTTATGCATTTGTTGCAAAATGTGCAAGCTGTTTGCTCTGTATTTTGAAGGTTGCAGGTTCGTTCCCCAAACTGTCATTCGGTTCATGAGTACAATTTTTGCAATGATTCCTGAGGATCATTGCTGGAGCTTCAGAGCTGTGCTTTGTATAGGCAGCGAACCATTCATCAGAGACAGATAGAGCTATATGAAGAAAAACAGTGCAATGATGTTAATTTTCTCAATTTTAAAGTTACCACTGTCAGATAAAGTTGCAGTTAGTGTTACAAACACGATTCTATTCCAAGCAACTTGATTTTCTCGTAATAGTAGTCCTGTAGAAAGCTGAATCACACAATGAGGTCTCCAGCACACTTATGAGCATTAGTTGTCCCTTTCAGGGCTGCCTAGAATGCACTTGTGGTGCTCAAATAATAGATTTCTACCATACACATTGTTTCTCATCAACCAATACCAACAATTCTCAGAAATATAACTTTTACTCAAATCAGACCTTACCAAAATAATCCTTGTAAAAACAAAAACAGAAGCACTTCAGAAAAAGAAGGTTCATATTACCTACCCTAAGTTAGCTGATTTCTGCAGCCTGGTTTTCACAAGGTCTAGTGGCTGAAACAGCAAAGTGGAGCAGGTTCCACTAATGGCACCAGCCATAAAAGACTTTACAACAGGTGACTGTTGAGGAAAAGATTGAGTTTAAAATCATAAAACTATGAATAGCAGCCATGTTAACTTCAGTCATTAAATATATAAACATTTATCATCCCTTGTGACATCTGTAGTCAGGCTCAGACAGGCACAAAGTAGGTGTATTCACAGGCAGCATACTATATGAACAATCAGCAAAGCTACACTCTGATATCATGAATACTGAATAAAGAATCAACTTTGCAGCAGTCAGGACATTGAAATAATGGCTCCAATCCCATCCACAGCAGCAAGTGCAGGGTTCCAATTCTGACACTATAAATAACAGTCTGATTCCCATAATCGCTCCAACCCCATCCACAGCAGCAAGTGTAGGGTTCCAATTCTGACAGTACCAGTAACAGTCTGATTACATATCCGTCTCACCTTTCCCTTAAGTGCTGACCATTGGCCACATTTTCTGGTGACTCCTCACAGCACCATTCTCCTGAGACCATGATGATCTATGTGTGCCTCTGCACTGTTCCTTTGTTCCCAAAGGATTCTTTTAACATTTAGCTTGTCATGCCTCATTTCCCCACCAGGTGATGCAGAACCAGCCTTTTTGTACTCTGATATATTCTGAAGGTTAGAAGAGACAGTGTTTTCTGATATAAATACATGTGTGCATACCAATGTGTTGTGCTTAGGATCTTCCTCGAACAGTTAAGATATTTAATCTGCTAATAATACATTTGGTGTACATGGCACCAGTCAAAAGGATATCACTCCAGGTGACTGAAAGAGAAAAGGTGAGCACAAAATCCTGAAGCCAGCAACAGCTGCAATCAAGTCGTAAATACAATTTTATTAAAAGAGTGGCCAAGAGACATATCAAAATTTGTCTCAGACTCACACAGACCAGATATAATTTTGTGTGTGGACAAGTGTTAGTTTTTACAAATGAGAAAAGGACAAAAACATATGTTATACTTACTGATGTAAAGTCATCCATCTTCCATGTAAATTGTGCCTGGTCTGGTGGAATTATAACAGTTTTCTCAATCATTCTGTAATCTGATCAATGCTTATCTGATGCACATTTCTGTGGACTTGTAAAAGTATCATTTCATCACTGTCTGTACAGTAGTTTTGTTGGAAGTTCCATTCCGAAACATGTCCAGTCAGCAATCAGTTGTTAAAATTCAGGAAATCTTTCAAATAGATTATTTCAATAGAAATAACACTAAGTTTTTAAATACTTTTATGACATGCCTGCCAATGGACAGTGAGTCTCATTTATTTTCTCCCATGTGACCCCAGGTCTCACTGTATCGGTATTAATGTTATTCCAATATTACATTAAACACTATGAAAACACTACAAGTTGTTGTAGTTAGATATGCTCTGTGGAATTTAGATATATCTGAGCTAGAAATGGCGTTGAGACTTGAAAATGGGATTGTTGGATTGCATTTTCAAACGCTATACAACTGTTTCTGACAATTTTTAAAGACAAATTCACTTCACTAAAGTAGCTACCTACAGTGAATATTGAATTAACATTTTGCTATATACTATATAATTATAATAATATTATTATTAATATAATATTAATTATAGTACAACACACAATTGTGTTAGTTTTACTCTGTTGTTATTGTCATGAATTAATACCACTGTCTTACTGGCAAATATGTTTACACCTCTAACCAAGCTACCATGTTGTATAAAATAAATATTGTTAGATTAGATGTGTAAAAAAAAAACTATCACTTCTGACACCGTAACTTAAGTACCCTAGTAGTTGCAGCAGTGCCTGGCACCACATGCTTACTAACGAATGACATACAGCAGACACAACAGTGCAGGCAGGAGTAACTAACTCTTAACTTTGCCAATGACTGACTACCCGCTAGTAGGCCAATGTTCGCGCTTTGCATGAATAATATTAAAGTAACGATTTTCTGAACACAAAATAACACTGCTTTTTTTTTTCCTTGTAGAGCCTAAATGTCTTCAGTGCTAAACAACAATTTGACAAACTCTGTCCTTTCGTGTCGCTAAATTTGTTTCATGCTACTGTTTTAGTGCTATCACGTGCCCAGTATACGTCACGTGAATTGTAGCAGACCGCATGTTTTTTGTTTTTTTTTCTATCCCAGCTGTGCTAACTTGTGTTTTTCTTAGTGACGGCACTAGCAACGTGGCCATACATGGACTCAAGATCTCTCTCTTCTATAACGCCCTAAAAAATGTAAATATGGGCAGTAACGACTCTGTTTTCAACTTTCCCAGCCTAATGAAGACATTCTTTGATGCAGCAGTGTAGTTTATCCCTCTCAGTATAAATAAAATGGGAGTCGCCGTGGCAGAGCGGCTAGACGCGCGCCGCGGATCGGAAGGTCGTGGGTTCGCTCCCTGGTGGAGACGGACTTTTCTTCAAAAATGACCTTGTCTCCCAGGTCGACCCAGCCTTGAGTGGGTACCGGGTGCAATCCCGGGAAGTAGAGGCGGCCGGCGTGATGCTGACCACATCACCCATCTTGTGTCGTTGGTCTATAAAAATATAGGTCTAGCCCTATATGCCTAAAGGCGTGGAAAGGGTCCTTTACTTTTTTTACTTTACTCATAAATAAAATCCTGCTTGTTAGAGAGAGAGGGAGAAAGAGAGACGGTTCTGTGTTTCGCCAGAAGCGAAGTGCATGGGCTTTCATGGCAAGAACCAAAGGGAAAGTCATGAAATGAAAGAAGACTGTGGAACCTTGCTTCTTCTACCAGTAGCAGCATAATAGATGTCATGGCTGTGTCAAAGGCCCTAGAATGGCTAAAAAATTCAGGAATTCGCCACTGCATGTTTTTTCAGCGAATCCGTGTGCATGTTACAGAAGATCAAGATCGGGTATACACGGAAATAGTAGATCTAATTGATATAGCGCACAGCAGTTCGCAAAATCGCCTTCATTACTGTCCCAGGGAAAGCTGCGAAGAAAAGCAATGAGAGAGGAGACGTTCTTGCTGACATCAACAGTGCCATAAGAAAGAGTAAACGCTGTGAGGCTTCGTGTGAAATGATTTCACTTAATAGCCTGCATCCCCTGCTGCACCAACTGGAACATCGAGACAAGAAAACCATGCAGGCGCCACCCCTCATTACATCAACCAGAACAGAATAGGAAATCGGACCAATACTGTTTATCTGGTAATCTGGTAATCCTAGTTTCAGCTTCATAGCAAACGAATCACCCCATAGTTGCTCCGCTTCTGTGCCAACGAAAAACACACGTAGCTCACAGTGTCACACCATGCACTCAACTCATAAGCTGGGTGACGAAACTATGTCCTTCCAGTCTACAAATGGAGTAAAAATGCAATGGCCACCGTCTGGCAAAAGAAAACCATTTGCCACGGCTTAAAAAAGGTGGCCGTGCCTAGCGTCCATTATGACCTGAAGCATTATATAAGGGTTAATAAACGGTCACTCCAGCAGTACCCTCACTATTAGCTAGGGAAGGGACTTAGGACATTACATCCACCAGCAGGCGTCGCCCCTACAACGACCTGACTGCCTTCGTTAACGACTGTTCATCAACAGCCATGCAGTTCTTTGGCACGAAGGAGACACCTTGAGCTTGGGTTTCAGACTGCCGACTCCCTACAAGATATTATTTTATGTTTTGTTATCACAATCGATGTCACTGCACATTAGGCATACCCATGCGCGCTCACTCCTCCGAAGCAACAGCCACTCCAAAGTACTTCTACTAATTATCCCCATGAGAAGCTGGTTATTTTGTCTTCTTTATCGGCCTCGAAGACGGCAAAGACGTGCTTCACCATGCTTAACTCCCATGTCACGCAATCGTGTTAGTGTCAGGGATTTCTCATTCACTAGCCCAGTTCGTACAGCGTTGACGATATCTGCTCTGTCCATGCTTTTTCCTGCAATTATTATTGCAGTGCTTGCCAGTTGGACCGCTCGCTCATTTCCCTTTACGCCCTCATGACCCGGTGTGTAGATCCAGGTTACGGAGGTTAAGTGCGATTTCCTAATGCTTTCTATTCATTCAGAGCGCATGCTGCCTGTTGCTATCTTCTGAAGCATATTAATCGAATCTGAGACAATTACTGCCTGTGTGGCGGTTTGCTCGAATCCCCATGCTAAAGCTCTAGAAGCAGCGGCTATTTTCATGGTCATGCTTGACGTGGTCTGGAAAGCACCGCTGTCCTCGTGTATTGTTTTCCCCCTTCTTTGCGCTGTGAATGCCCATGCTGACCTTGATCCGCGCTTCACGGATCGATCTTTGTAGATGATGATTATCTTCTGGGTCTGAATGCTGATCTATAAGTTCTCTTACTTCTGTGTCTACGACCGCAGGAATTTGATCCCTGCAGTACCTTCCGAGAGTGATGACAACTTTAGATATGTCATGCATGTCTACTTGTGTATTCGTCCATTCTTTTCCGTGACTGATCACGTCTAGGTCACATACCTGCTGGATTAAATCCTCAGCCTTTGCCATCCAAGAGCGGCCTCTTTTAAGACGCGTTCCTTTTGTGTCGTGTATAGCTTTGTGCAATGGGTGGTTAACATCTGAGGATACCCTCATGTAAGCCTTGACCTGTGCCACATTGTATCTGCTAGTCATCGTCGGCAAAACCAGGACATAACGCATGGCGTTGCAGGAGGTGTATTTTGTGCAGCTAAGTCTCATGGCCTCATTTTGTACACTGTCTAGTCTTTCTAGCTGGGTTTTGCTGACAGTGAGGAGGACAAGACCATAGACAATAACGCTAAGCACAAGCCCTTGATAGAGAAGGAAAAGTAGGCGTTGTTCAATATCAGCTGCTGCTAGCACCTTGAGTGCTGTCAGACCTTTCCTGGCTCTAAGTATGACGTTGTCTGCGTGGCATTTGTATGACAAGCATCTGTCAAATGTCACGCCCAGGTATTTCATCGTGTCCATTCTCTCGATGTCCACACCATAGATGCTTACGACTGGTGTTGGTGTACTGACGATGTGGGTATTCAGAGAGAACCATGTTAAGGAGGTTTTGAACGGGTTCGCATAAGCTCTTGATTCCTGGCACCACTCACTAAGTCTGTCTAGTTCGTGTTGTAGCGTGGTTGGAATTTCCTGCCTGTTTTTATCTCGACGGTAAACATGGATATCATCTGCATACGACATTGTTCTGCCTAGGTCTACGCTTTGTGCACTCGTGACTCCTGCTGTGTACATACTGAAGAGCACAGTCGACAATGATGATTCCTGCGGCAGACCCATTAGGGCGCGTTGAGGTTCGGATGCCCATTCACCACATTGAAGGGACACTGTTCTTTCAAATAGCGCTGCTGCAATCCAGTTGAACAATTTTGTTTCTATCTGCATATCCAACAGCAGTCTGATGAGCACGTTGTATGGGACGCTGTTGTACGCATCTTCTATATCAATAGCGGCTGCAGCCGTCTCCATTCCCTCATGGAAACCCTCATGTGTGTCGTAGGCAAATACTGCAGCATTGCACCACATTGGTTATGTCTTATGTGAGACGAATATGATCTTAAAATAAACAATAAACAACAATTTAACTATATTCACTTTGAGAAGATCTAATTCACAACAGATCTTCGTTACGCGAGGGTTTACGTTTACCTTTGATATAACAAGACAGTTAAGCTGGGTAGTTTAATTACGGGAATAAATAAATGTCCTGATCAAGCGTTTTTTGGCGGAGGCAATCTTCAACCCTTTCTTCCCGCTCACCGGCTATAAAATTCATGCAGAAAGTTTAGTGCCACCATATATGTATATATATTATAAGGCTACACCGAATGTTTGCTTCGTATTCGCTTCGGGGCCGAATAGTGGACCGAATGACTTTTCGGTATTCGGCCGAATAGTTGCGGTCGGACCGAATACTAATAGTGGTTACCTTACACTCATTTCTGCATACACTGCGATGGACTGAAATAATTCTCTCATTAACACAATAGTTGCTGTTGCCTAAGTTTCTAGTAGCGGGAAAACTGCGACGGGGTTGCGTGGTACAGCAGCTGGCAAGGTCTTG